TATATATATATATATATATGTGTGTGTGTGTGTGTGTGTGTGTGTGTGTGTGTGTGTGTGTGTGTGTGTGTGTGTGTGTGTGTGTGTGTGTGTGTGTGTGTGTGTGTGAGAAAAATCTCGGAGGTCCTGTGTGCTAGTTGTGCACGTTAAAGATCCATTGAAGGTCCAATATCGTTAAGAGCAGGCTTCGGCCGCCTTCGGGGGAACATTCAAAATTTCCTACCGACTGAAAATGTTAAATGTGTCCCTCCCGCTCATATGACCTTATGCAGTTGTGAGCGCCGTAAAACACTTACGGTACATAAAGAAGGGCATTAGCAGTAGTGCAATAATAATAAATAAGGAAATTTCCAAATTAAATGATAGTTTGAGGCCTGTAAAGTACCCTATTGTCATTTTTACGGGGTTTACTGGGCTGTGTCTAACTGTCTGTCTGTCTGAATGTCTGTCTCTCTGTCTCTCTCTCTGTCTCTGTCTCTGTCTCTGTCTCTGTCTCAGTCTCTGTCTGTCTGTCTGTCTGTCTGTCTGTCTGTCTGTCTGTCTGTCTGTCTGTCTGTCTGTCTCTCTTTCTCTCTCTCTCTCTCTCTCTCTCTCTCTCTCTCTCTCTCTCTCTCTCTCTCAGTGGCGGTGGGTGGACCAAGATTTGGGTGGGGCTTAGGGTTCTTCCACTTCTTTACCACAAATAAAATAAGCTATAACTATAAGAACAAAACAGTGATGATTTTTCTATACTCACGGCGAGCCACGGCATTTTGAGAATCATTCAAACGAGAAGAGTCACCTTTGTCTTCCATCTCTTTGTTCTACGTTAAATTCTTCTGGATGGTGGGGACGAAGCCGTTTCACCTCCAAATATCTCTAATTAGTTTATATCTGATGAAAAAGTTGCCTCAAAAGTTTTTTGATGTAATTAATAACTGTTAAATCTCAGCGGCAAAAACACACCGTGTATGAGGTGGATTGGGTCGTGTTGTTGCGGAAAATAGAACGCGCCTAACAAAGGCCCAATGGGCGCATATGTAATTGTGTCACTGGGGGAAAGTGCGTCGTAAACTTTCACCCCATTGTCAGGGCTGGGACTGCGCGAGCCCTCAGTGCAGTGCTATTTTTGTTCAAGTCTTCTACCTTTTTACAAGAAGAGTTTCATTAAAAACGGGCGTGGGAACCGGCTTATTCTTTCTGAGCCCTAACGACATTTGATTGGCTGTTAGGTTACTATAGTTGTAAGCGGTGACAACAATGATTGGATAAACGGGCTAGCCGCCAAGCTGATCACTGTGTGTTCATTGCGTGCGATCATAACGGTTTCAACTGCTTATTTCGTTATTTAAGAAACTTTCATTAACTAAGGGATAGAGTTTGGGTGGGAAGGGGGTGGGGGTTGGGGGGCTCAAGCCCGTAAGCCCTTCACTACCCACCGCCACTGCTCTCTCTCTCTCTCTCTCTCTCTCTCTCTCTCTCTCTCTCTCTCTCTCTCTCTCTCTCTCTCTCTCTCTCTCTCTCTCTCTCTCTCCCTCACACACACACACACACACACACACACACACACACACACACACACACACACACACACACACATATATACACACTCTCACTTAACATGATGGGAATGGACCTGAACTGTCAAATTATTAATTTATTAACAAATTTAACTAATTAAAATAATGAAAACAAATAGAGCTAGATCTAGATTGGATATCACTGCAAGGAAAATAAATAAAGCAAAAAAAATTGGAGTATCATCTCAGCTTGGAAAAATAAATATTCAAATAAATCAGAAAAAAATGAATATTTAATTATGAATGGCATACATTATTTGGCAATTTAATGAAAATGAACGATTTGAAAAAAAAGAATAATCATTTAAAATTTTGAGTTGAGTTGAAAAAAGAATCTACAAACAAATTGAAATTAGATTTAAAAGAAAATAAAAGGAAATAAATGCATTTTAAAATCACAACTAGATCTCTAGGAAAAACATCATAGAATTTAATACTTTTAACATGTAATGCTTGTGGTCTATAATATTTTTTCTATTGCTTTCTTTTCTTTTCTTATCCCCCCCTCCCAAACCTTTTAGAGCATCATGGTTGAGGTAAACTTTTGTCAACTTTTCACTGCCCCCCCCTCCCCACCCCCCTCTGAGTTGACGTCATTAATTGTGGTCGGTCCCTAAAAACCTAAAAGCGTGCATTG